ATTGGTTTTGGTGAGTGGGAAAATTTTTAAATTGTCCCACAAAAATCTTAAATTACGTAATTTAATATAAAAAGTAACGCCTTATGATCTTTAGAAGTAAGAAGATGGCACAAAATTTACCAACGGAAATTTTAATTCAAATTTTAACCGAAGTTTTAGACGAAACATGGTATGATGATTCGTTTTCTTTAGGTGATGATTCGTTTTCTTTAGGTAATGATAATTTGGAATAGGTGTTGTTTACACTTTCGATTTGATAATCGGTGTGCAAATGTAGCTTTGAATACTTTGCATCACTTCGTAGAGTATGTACAAAATGGAACAAACTAATCCCTATAATCATAAATGATATTTCTATCCCAATCTTGGGTAAAAGATTATTGCTCACGGTAATTGTTAAAAAAATTTCTTTGATACAATTTCCATATGCTTTTCAATTAACATCTACCTTCCTTTTTACTTCTTTTTAAAAGTTTGATATATATAAATATAAAATAATCAGAGCACCGATTTATCATTTCCAAACCAATTCTTACGAAATCCATTTTGATGACAAACTTGGATGGCAATTCAAACATCCACCAACGTGTGATAGAAAGTTGTCATTATTTAAGTGTTCGTTGGGAATTGGTAGAAAGACTTGCGTAACTCAAATATCCTTTGGGTATTTAGAATTACCTGAAGTTCTTAAAGGTAAATTTTCGTTGAATGGTAAGTGCGGTATTAATGGATGGGTTGAGATATGTGAAAAGAATTCGGGGAAAACTGGAAGATTGAGAGTCGAGAGCATTATGGTTGACGCCAAAGAGATTTTTAAGGTGTTGGATGAGGTATGTATCGATTTTGATTGTCTCAAAAATACAATTAAATTAACTTTTCTTTTCAATTTAGATATATTAAACCAACAAAGTTATAGATCAAAGCAGATGTAAATGTACAAATCTTGATCGGAATTACTATGAAATCTTGGCAAGCAAAATCTCTACAGCATTATGGCTGCCATCTAACTTGCCGAGATTATGGTTTTGTGGGAATTTTGCCGGAACTTTTAACAGATTCCATCTTGGCTACCTTTCTTTGAGTTTACTTATTATATTGATTAATAATACAGTATATAGTTATCTTTGTCTCTGATTAGCGAGAGTGAGGATTAAATAATGAAATATTTCTTTTGCAAATGCTTATATATAAAATTTACATTTATGCTTATGTTTTTGATTTAAAAGGATTTGTTTAATGTTTCACAACAATTATTAATTAAACTTTTTGTAAATACGTAAAATTATGAATCAAATAGCATATTTTGACACCTTTTAATTATTCATTAATACATTTTGCGAATTTATATTCTATTAAAAAAATTCATCTTGAATACATAATTCGTGACTCGTCAGTCAATTAAATTATTATTGTAAGTAAATAGATATGAGGAGACATGTCATCCTGAATTCTTATTACGTCATAAAAATGTTAATAAATAGACCTTTATACGTTATAAGAA